AAGGAACCCGCTTTCCCCGGCGAATATAAGGACGGAAAATTGCCGTCAAATGCTGGCAAATTGCCAGCTGAAGGCACCAATCCATGGTTTGGGGGAGGAGACGAGTCTCCTGAAGCGTACCCGACCAATCTCCCCTCAGGATACCCAACCGATTTCTCAAAAGACTCTAAAGGGCCCTCTGGTTTCCCCTCAGGATACCCAACCGATTTCTCAAAAGACTCTAAAGGGCCCTCTGGTTTCCCAGGATTCCCAACCGATTTCACAAAAGCCTATAAAGAGCCCCCGACTGGTTCCCCCCCGGGATACCCAACTGACTTCTCAGACGGCTGGTTTACTCGATGGAAAAAAGAACACTGGGGAAATAAGAACATGTCCCCAGATAATATGCCGATGACCTTAACGACTGTCGTGAGGCCTGCTCCTACGAATTTTCCTCTGTCTGACCTTGAAAAAGTTGATAATCCTGTTGTCTTTTAGTCACTGGACAGGAGATAAAGGGTGTGATATTTGGAATTGGCCTTTTGTGTACATGTTGTGATTCTTGTATATACGTATTAGGTTTTTCATGAAACCACACCTGGAGTGTTGGCTGGCTTCCTTGTATTGCATGTCGACGGCAATCACGATAGGAAGGAGTACGAAAATCAAAAATTCGAAACTCTCTCCTTGCACATCGTTTCTCAAAAATCCATCCTTGATATAACATGTCACAGATTAAAAAATTGGCAATCAGCTAGTTAAAGGAGTAAGTAGCAAAATGATAGACGGTGTAGGGGTGGAATCCACGACCTCGAGCGAGCAAGACTGATGGTTGCCGGTGCACGCTTATTAGATACGGCACCCCGGGGAACGTTTTCTTACCGGAAGAAAAACAAAAAAAATGCAAAAATAAAGATTAGACAAAATTCACTGGACGGTGTGGGGATTGAACCCACGACCTCTCGCATGCAAAGCGAGCGATACTACCACTGATCTAACCGCCCTTTACCGCCTGGAGCAAGCTTGATGAATTATCAATATTTACCCCATTTGTTGCTGTGTTGTGAGCCGCATTCGATGTGCGGCCAATGTACAATAAAATATATGACCCATGCCAAAAATTCAGGTAGATCCTCGGGTATCTTGTGAGCTATACTACTTCCGATCTAAGATAGGTGGATCCTCGATCACGTGGCCATTACCGCTTTCCGCAAATAGGTACGCTCGCTTGAATTAAGCTAGCTCGCTTCTGATGTTGCACTTACGTCTCTGGGGGAGATGGCTGCTACCGATTGGGATCGCATCGGAGAGATTCGCGGTGGCATTCCTGCTCCGAAGAAGCAGTTTGATGGACCGAAGAGTTTGTATCCAGAGGAGCCTTTGCGACGCTGCCAGGAGTGGACACGAGAAGCAATACAGGCTTGGACTGCCGCTGGGGCTCTTCATACTGATAGTAATACTGCATCTGCCGACTATGACGATTACTGTAGTGGAGAGCATAATCAGTACTGTCACGACAACGGTGACGGGGCTTATGAGTGGGCAGGCGAGCGGCCGTCATCTAAGGAAAAGGGTAGAGCGAGATAGGTAGGGGGCGGGCATGGGAGTCGGAGCTTGATCACGCAGGAGTGGAGATAACTAGTGGGATCTCGAGGCAAATGGATTCAGATGTAGGAGTGTCCAGTTCGATCACGGCTTTCCTGGTCTATAGTGGCTCTTGATACATTATAGAACGTGCAAGAAGTATTAGCTCCTCTCTGAAGACTCTCGCACGAAAGCTTTTGTCCAGATAGATAATGAAGAGTCTCAAAGACAGCCAGCTGTCCCGGGGCAGATGGACCGTGATAAATGCAAACGAGAGATCGCTGACCTAGCACCCTCACCATGAGAATGCCCAAAGTCATGACCACAATCCTCTCCTTGGCATATCCATCCATGCGAATTCGTTTGGATACTCATCAAGGATTTTGCCTACCCAAACATGCCAGTCGTCATCCCAACTGTCGCATGTGAACATGGCCAAAGCACATTCCCAATAGCAGCTTTCACTTCACTTGAAGCTTGCGGAACACTGGCACGCTCTGCTTTTCCTCGATGAGGCCTTTTGGAGCGTCGTCCCTGCCAACCTCCTGTGCGGTAGTGATCCTCGCTGGAGAAGATACGAAGGCTTAGACGTTTGCCTTGCCGAGGCTTACTGTATGAATTGCGCTTTTGTATATATATATATATATATATATATATTGCAACGTAAAGGGACAAAAGACAGGATCCTGAG